GATGTCACACATTCATTTTATATATATTCTGATATATCCATTGATTTTCTAAATGGGTACTTTTCATAGGAGATCATGGGTAAGAGGTAGTTGCCAACTAAGCTATCACTCTGAAATATACCTATTGTAAATTCTAATCTTATTTAATATCTTCAATGGGAAATTTTTTTATTTCAGGGCATTTGAGTACTTAATTACAAATATAGTATGATATACAAATACTAAATCTTATTTTCAATCACATAAATCAATTTAAGAAGTAATATAGAATAGTGATTCAGCTCTTGACTTCTCTTGTTAGATAGACCAAGGTTCAAAATATGACTCATTCAGCTGATTCTGTGACTATGAGTTGTTTTTTAAGTACTATTATTTTAAGTTATTTAATAATTTAAGACTTACCAGTTAAATGGAAATAACAATGAAATATGCTTTAGGGAAGAATTAAATAATCTATATCAAGACACAATACAATGAACCTTTAACAATTATCACCACTATTATTTGAAAATTTTAATTTTGAAACATTAATTTTTGAAGCAAAACAGCATTTTAAAGTAGCTTATTTTAATTTGCACCAGAGAAATAACAAAAAGCAGGCATTGTTTCATTTTAACAAACATAATGATATGCATATACAATATTAATACCTCTAATTCTTTTATTCATTCAAAAATTGCTTATTGAGTTCCTGCTATCTACCAGGCACATTTCTGGCCCTCAGGAATATAGTTTAAAACAAATAGACAAAGTCTTTGCTCCTCTTGGAGTTTTCATTTTAGTAAGTAGGTAAACTAAACACAAAAATAAATAATATTTTAATTCCTAAGTGCTGTGATGAAATTGAAAGCAGGGTAAAGAGATAGTGCTTGAAGATACTTTATATAGAGACATAATGAAAATCCTTTTTGAGGAGGTAGTAGTTGCACAGCTATCTGGATAATAAGTGAAATGACCAATAAAATTGTCAGTGTTCATTGAGTCTTAAAAAAATGTAACATATTTAGGAAAGATCAAGAAATGTATAATCTATTCTTGTTTTGAAAGAATGCTTTTCTATTGATTTGCTAGTTCATTTATTCTTTGAGTTAAGGTTTAGAAATTATTTTGACAGAATAGAAGCCTCATTCTATATTTACGCAAGCAATATCTTGCTACTGAGATGAAAAAGATACTACCAGAAATAGTTATAGAGGAGAGTTTTATTTTTAATTATACACCAATGAAGAGCAAAAAAGGAAATAAAACATGGGAAAAAACAAAAGAAGAAAGACTTGCTGTGGCCTTCTGCTTTTATCCATTTTAGCCTAGTTCTACCCCACAGTAGCAGACCCCCATATAATGACTTCTGCCAAATTAAAGAGTCATGTGATATCGTCTTTTTGTTAACTCTATGCCATGCACTGTTCAAAATCCTTTATATGTATCATCAAAAGCATTTGATCATTTGCTTTCAGAAATTCTCTGACCTAATTATGTTGGCTCACTAAAAAATGAGAAGCAAAGACATGGCATTTATGAAAGGGTATTTTTGTTGCCAAGGATGATTATCTTCTTTTGTTTGCATGCTTACTATTGAGTTTAACAGCAGTGGGAATTGAATCTTAAGGCTACTGTTTTGTCTAGTATTATTTTTCCAACTGTATGACCTGAAATAAGTCACTTAACCTCTCTAGTGCTGATTTCTCTAATTTGAAAATTATGTCGTTTTAATAGTTAGAATCTTAGAAACTATCTCTAATGTTGTCCTACCTCTCAAGATTCTCATCTCAGCTAAGGTAATCATTATGGAGTATGTGGAAAAATACTTATTGGTGTTTATCTTTTCAAGTGGAAGCAGACATATGGGAAAATCTTAAGTATAAATTCCAAAGTTCAGAGTATTAAGTAAAATTGATGTTTTTTGGCCCGGGGGGAGGGGGGGAATGATTTTCCCCAGGGGGGAAAATCTCTCAGATTATCTTTTTAAGAAGAATCTTAATATTGGAATTGGCACTAATTTGTTCAGTTTGATCAAATTTCAATTGGGTTTTTAATTTCTATTTCTTAATTTTAAAGAAATTTTGAATGGATATATATATGTTAATATACATGTTTATTTTGGTATGCACATGAAAATGAAGGGACACAAGAAAATGTATTCTGATAGGCTCTTAAAAAAAAAAAACAAAAACAAGAATTTTAGTTCTTACTCATGGATTATAATATATGACCATGCACTAAATAAATGTTATATGATTCTGGACAGTCTGGTAAGCTTTTATTTTCTCATTTATTAAACATAATTTTTAAATTCTGATTAGCCTTTACAAATATATATTTTAAATAGCTCTTCATTTTTTTCAGCTAAACTAACACGATTTATTGTTCGAAAAGGTTTACATGTATTAACATATTTAATCCTTACAACTGTATGAAATAAAATATTATTGTATTGTCACTTTAAAGATGAAGAAACTGAGGCACAATGACATTAACTTATCCAAGGTCACGTAGAAAAAGGGACTCCTGACTCCTCTGGAATTTAAATCCAGGAGTCTACCCTCTCATACTATACTATTGGTATTGACTATAATACCAAATTAAAATATGGTGTAATTTAACCTCTGATGAATGGCTAATAATAACTTTATCTTAAATGCAACAAAAGAACATGTTGCTAGGAGCTACTTTCAGTTATTGATCAAAAAGACTTTTTTATGTTTTTTTTTGTAGTACATTAAAGTAAGGTGAAGTTTGAGCATATGGAAGCAAAATAAAATTTAGCTACTTGGAAAGAGTAATGCTAGAAACACTTTTGACAAAATGCCAAATCAGTAACAGATATTTTTTTTACACTCTTCCATAAATTATTGGACTATAACGAATACTTAATTTGTACCAAAATGTCGATTTATTTTATTTTAATGTTTTAACATGCAGCAGTCTTGCAAATAGGGATCATTTTTTTTCCTTCAACTTATTAACATGTTTTACCAGCTGATCTTTTTCCCATAGGGTAAATAGATGCCTCCTCTTTTAATAATTCCTTGGCATAAATTATAATTTACTTTAATCAACGGATGAATGCTTATTTATTAGCATTTGTGTGCATAGATCTGCATGAATTATGTCAGGTTGGTAAAAATTTCTTCGTTGAATTTCAAAAGTCTCTTGTGCTTTGAATACACAGATAATATTAATGGAGAACTGACTTATAAGAGCTAGACATTACTGAAGTACTCTATCCAGAAAAAAAGAGTTTCTACCAAATCCTAATTTTCCTAATGTAAACACATTAAGAAAAGATCGTTGTTGCTAAATCTTTCTTTTGTAGCAATTATTTTCTTATCAATGAATTAGTGTGTTGGGGGTAAATGCCAAAGTAGAGTTGCTAGCGGCAATTTAATTAGGTTCCTTTATAAGCGATTCAAGCATGAGAGCTGTATTTTCTGTAATTTAAATTTGCTGTTTATCTCTTGTGAAGATTATCCATTCAAGTTTGCAAGTTTTTTCTTACTCTAGAAAAACCTTAAAAAAAGTTTTGTTTCATCTTGGTTAAAGACTATTGTATTTATGCTGTCAAATAGTTATTTGTGCACAAAACAAATGAGAACAGTTTTGATTTAGAATGCTAACATTAGGCTAAAATTCATACTGGTTCACCTTAAGCTATAATAAGGTATATTATATGTTAATCACTGCCCTGAGCCCTTAACTTTCCTTGCTGCTCAGGGCTCTTGGGTAGATGGGCCCCAGAAAGAGAAAGCCTGACTGAAACTGGCATTAATCTCATTTATGATTACTTCATCATTTCTTAAATAAACTAGCATACTATTAGAATGTACTGTATGACACTAGTAGTGGCAAATTATGCTTTCATTTGTGTTATGATTATCCTTTCTTGGTAGCAGATTCATTACTGTTCTCTAAAATCTGGAGTGCACTGGGGCAATGTTTCATGAACTGTATTTTAAATGTTAGTTGCGCAAGGTGTTGTTGGATGTCATATAGGAAAGAAAGGGGTCTCCAGTCAAAGAGTGGGTAATATTCAAAATATGTTCAACAGTTCTGTTTTTATCATAACACTCAGAATTATTAATGTATTAATGTGCATCATAAATCTTTAACAGGAGGATATAGCATCTGGTCCTTCTCAAACCTCTGATTAAAGATGACTGCCTCTCTTTCTTTTCTTTTTCTTTTTCTTTTTCTCTTTCTTTTTCTTTTTCCTTTTCTCTTTTTTTATCTAAAGAAAAAGGCACTGGTCAAGAAACACTTTGGGAAATGGTGTTCTAGACTAGGATATCTCAGATGTAGCCATATAAATGTTTGAGGCCAGACAGTTCTTTGCTGTGGGGACTGTTCTCTGCATTGTAGGATGTTTATTAGCATCCTTGGCTCTACCTACTAGATGTCAGTAGCATCCCCTCTACCCCTAGTTGTGGCAATCAGAATGTCTCCAGACATTGCCAGATGTCCTAAAGGGTGAAAATCTAGTCGAAAACCACTGCTTTGTATTAATTTTGCAATATTCCAGAGATTCAGAGGGTTTGTTAACAATTTCCATCTAGAATTTTTTTTTCATGAGGAAGGAACAGTAGTCTAAAAAGTAGAAGCTAGCTGAAGGACTTTGGGTGATAAACACACAATAGAGCATACAGATGTGAAATGATAATGTATACTTGAAAATTATATAATTGTATTAACCAATGTTACCCCAATAAACTTAATAAAAATAAATAAATAAAATAAATAAAGAGTAGAAGCGGAGATAAAGAAGGTTCAATACATTCTACTGTAATAAACTTTCTGTATTCACTTTATACCCAGGCCTGATTTTCTAATAATTATGTGGCGTATTTACTGCAAAAAATAATTTCAAACTCTGCAGAATACTTTATGGCAGAGACAAAAAAAAAAAATTTATATTAAAAGAGTAGCCAGATGTTTAAATCAATCTGCATATGAGGATATTGCACATTTCTAAAATCTATTTTTTTTTTTTCTGTTTTATGTAGGGCTATTTTCTTCTTTTTGAGTCTATGTTAGATTCTGTCCTATATGCGAAGAACAAATACTTGGCTAAAGGAGGATCAGGTAAGTATAAAATGCTAGTTTTAATAATCTAATTTTAGTTTGGCAGAACCAAATTAACCTTTGGATTTCAAATAAACTATGTATGAGTGAGAAAGTTCCCAGTATAGATGAAAGATGTTTCCATTAGATAAAGCTTTAAGACATTTCTTTAGCATACTGTTGATAGTAGAACATTATTGATATATGCAGGACTCAAAGTTAAGGGTATTTTCAAGAACACTTTTTATAAAAATACAAAAGACTAGATTGGAAGCTCTTTAATATTCAAATCAAAATCGAACAGAAAGTTTTTGGTTTTCAATCCTTAAGATATTTAGGTGTTCCCCCCCCCACCCCCACCCCGCAGAGAATATATTTCATGCTAGTTTGGAGATTATTCACTTTAGTGGCAAATTTTCCATATCTTCACTAAATATATAAACCTGGCTTCTGTGTGATTTAATTAGAACATTTAAATAGTGACTGGTTTCTCTTAAGTTTTTAAAGCATAATGTACTCAATCAGTATTTTTAAATGTGTCCCAATAAATTTGGAAGGCTATCTTTTCATGGCCCTGATGAATTTTTAATCTTATTAACTCTGCATATTCAAAGTGTAATTGTGGTTTTACAGCCTTCTGCCTTGAACAGTTGTATACAAACAAATGTTCTCTTTCAGTGCAAGGATTATATTTTGCTCATCTTTGACTCTATGGGCTCTACAGCTTCTGGAGCATAGATAGAGAATCATTTATGTTTATTGAATTGGATCATTAAAACTGAATTGAAGAGCATCAGTCTCCCTTCATTCACCTCTCCCTACGCCTTCACTTTCTCAGAGCTTCAGAATCAACTAATGCTATGGCCAAAGTGCAGTTGATAAAACTTATATAAAAATGGATGGAAAGGAGGAGACATTTTGAACTAGTGAAATGAAGCACTGGACCATACTGAAACCTTCTGCCCATCCGTGTCTATGAAATTACTTTGGTAGTTATGGTACAATAGATATCAGTAAGGCTAAAACATAAAGCACAGAGAAAATTCTCCAGTATAATAGAATTCTTTTTATAATAGCATTTAAATGAAATTCTCCAGTATAATAGTTATTTTTATAATAGCATTTAAATGGATTGCCTTTCTTTTTCAAAATTCTATCACTATATTTCCTGCAACCATTTTAATATATGTTCTGTATTCCTGACATGAACCTGGCTAAAATTTTTAGGTATATTTTACCCTACAGCTATTGGCTATATCTTACAATAATTGCGGTAGCTTTTTAAAAGATGAATACTATACTTAATGACTAAAAATTAATATTATCTACCATTTGTTGATTTTCTATACAAGCTGTCAATATACTCTGCCTTTTCTTATGTTATTACATGTAATCCTCACAGCAGCCCTTTGAGATTTTAGAAACAAAGGTATCCTGGTTGACACATATTAAGTGGCCAAGTGTTGTTTTTTTTTTAAACGTAGATCTGCTGGATCTTCGTTTTCACTATCCCTTGTTTCCCCACACTAGTAATTTTATTGAATCTGATTTTTGCCTTGAAGTTGTTCTAGGGAAGGTTCAGAAAATCGTTTCCATACCTCTCTGAGTGGTATTCATTGATCTTACTGAAGGAGTGACAGCAACTTAATACATTTAAATTGAATTCTTGATGAAATTCATTAAGAACTTAAAGCATGCAAATAACGAGTTTTTAGTTGAAATAGTGGCAGAGTTATTTCCCATCGTCAGAGGGTAAGGTGGAGGCAGATAAGTCTAGGTCTTTCCAAATTATTATATAGCTAATATCAACACTAAGATAATCTGGACGTATACTGAAGAGAGGTCAGCATTTAACTGCCTAAGCAGTGCTGTTGAGTGTTATTTGTTAACAGAATCGAAAGAAAAGAAGGAAAGGTCACAAATGAGTAACGTGAAGTGGTTGAGACTGTTTTATGTACGTGAGTATGCCTTGCTGCATATCTCCAATCATCTAGATACTCATTCTTCTATTGAAAAGAAACGTTTTATTTTTTAATGAAGGAAAGATTTACTAAGCAATTAGTGTAAAGATGGAAAAATGATTGAATTATGAGAGAGGTTGAATATAGAAGACCTATGATTGAATTATGAGAGAGGTTGAATATAGAAGACCTATATAAGCATGAAGGAAGCACAAATTACTTTTACATGAATTAGGGTTCAGTTTATATATCATTATGTATGTATGGAATAAAACCTTTATAAAACACAATATTCATTCTTTGTTATCACCAAGCAATTCCACAGTACTTTAGTAGTACTCATTTACTGCTGCTATTACTAATAAAAATAATTTTGTAAAATTAATGAAATTGAGTTTACTAAAGACTAATTATACTAATTTTGGCTAAGATTTACTAATGCTAATTGTGTGTTAGGAATTGTAGTGTTTTACATTCAACTGACCAAGAGATAAAGAAAAAAATCTAAGAAAATATTAGTCATAATCAATGTGTGTTTTTACAGCTAGAATTAAGACAAAAACAAATAGATGTTTTGGGATGACAACATAGAATGCAAATGTTTTATACCCTGACAATGGCAAATATTTCTGAAAACTTGGAAAGAGAATGCAGAAGGCGAATGGGAGGAGATATATATACTTCAGTTGCTTTATCTTTAATAGCAGGAATTTATGGAATATCATTGAAAGCTGACAAATCAAGTAATAGACTTATAAGCACATTTCACACTATAAAGGTAATGTTAAAATTACATTGATTAAAATTGAGTGGTGAGACTTGTGGTGATACATCCTATGTATATGTTGATTGTGATTACATGACTTATCTATGTATTTATCAAATTACATAGAATCATACACCAAAGAGGGCAAAAAGAGTGAGTTTTACTGTACGTAAATTATACCTCATCAAAAGTCACTTTAAAAAAAGTGAAGTGGCATTTCCCATTCTTTCAGATCAAATGCATTATGACATGATTTGATTTCTCACTTTTCTGAAAAATATATTAAAGTTGTGTACTAACTATGCCCACTTCTGTATTTGTTGTTAATATTATCAGAGCATCTGTTTTTTTTTTTAATTTAAAAAAATAATTGGGTGATTAAAAAGAGGGAAGGGAAGGGGAAGAATAAGGAAATATACTAATTTTATCATTACTCAGGAGATTAGTAAAGAATATTAAAAATAGAGAACTAAATATATTCTATAAGGTTATAGTTATAAATTTAACTACTAGAACAAAAATTCCTAATTGTAAGGACTAATACTAAGGAAAAAAGCAAAAAAGACCATATAGTGAGCTACTTAAAAAAAAAAAAAAGAAAAGAAAACAAAAACTACAGATACAGAAAAGTTAACATAAAATGCTAGAGTTTTAAACAAAAATATTTCTCATATCAATAAATGTAAATGGGCTAAACTCACTTATTCAGAGAACGAGAATTTTAGATTGGATTTCAAAAAGAAAGCTCAGTTTTGTGCACTTTATAGAGGCACATCTAAAATACAATGATTTAGTAAAGTTAAAAGGATGAAAAAGATATTCAAGCAAAACCAAAGAAAAATTAAAAATGAAAACACTCATGATATTGATACCAAATAAGAGGGAATTAGCACAAAATATTTTAAAATTAATCATATGGAACTTCAAGTGAATCAACTGAAAAATTATTATAAATAATAAAAGAATTTAGTATATTATAGAGATACAAAATAACAATTAGAAATAGACAAGGCTTACATGTGGACAACTTTACTATGAAGGATGCACAAAAAAGTTTTAAATAAATGAAAAGATATACCATGTTCTCGAAGAGAGAACCAATGCCATAAAGATATCTCCCAAAATTAGTTTAAAATAAAGTGTAATCCAAAAACATTGACAGTTGTTGAAGATAAGTGATAAGTACATGAAAGTTAATTATGCTCATCCCTATTTTTGTATGTGTTTGAAAATTTTTATAGGATAAATTTTCTAAAATTGTATTATAATCCCAATCAAGTTTTTTTTTTAATTAGGAATAAAAAAAATTTTAATAGGAATAGTGAGGAAAACTCCAAGATAGAAGGATAACAGAGTAGGTGTAGGAGAACCAGAAGAATCATGCTACCAAGGATTAAAACACATTTAAAACCTCAATAATTAAATTAATATACTATTGGTTCTTAAATAGACAGATGAGTTTAACAGAATAGAAAATCCTAGTATATACCCAACAATATATGGCATCTCTTATAATAAAGGAAATAATTTACTGTAAAATTGTTTTGAGACAGTAGGGTAGCCCTCTATGTAAAAAAAAACAAAAGTAGTGTTTCATTTCACACAGTAAATTGTACACTGTAAATGTTAAATGAGTCAAAAGTTAAATTAAAAAAAAGTTAAAATACTTGAAGGAAACATAAGTATATTCCTTTATAAACTTGGGGGAAAAGAGCTTTCTAAATACAAACTAAAATTCAGATGACTTAGAAGAAAGAATTGATAAATTTGATTATGTCTAAATAAACATAAATGGCAGAATATGCCGTATGCAAAGTCACAAAGGAAACTACAGATCGAAAAAAATATTCACTTCCTATTACCAACAAAAAGCTAATCTCCTTAACATATAAATAGATCCTACAAATAAATAGGCCACAAACCCAATAGAAAATTTATCCTGTATTTTTTTTTGTAAAGTTTCAGCTTTTACATTTATATCTATGATTCATTTCAAGTTAATTTTTGTGAATTATGTGAGGTAAGAATAGATGTTAGTATTTTCCAGCACCTTTGTTGAAATAACTATCCTATCCCATTAATAGCTTGTCTGAGTATTGATATTAGGTAAAGAAAGTCTTTCATCTTTGTTCTTTTTAAAAATTGCTTTGACAGTTTGGTCATTAGTGAGTTTGTGTGTATATTTGTTTTTTTAAAGTAAATTTTAGGATTTTATTTTAGAATCTTTTAATTTAGAATCTGTCAATTTTTAAAAGACTGCTAAAATTATGATAGGATTGGCTTAAATGAATAAA